CTTAATTAGTTTTAACAGGTGAATAACTAACAGCATCAGCAGAAAATTCTCATGACAGGAAGGGACCTGAAAAAAAATCAAGGAACCAAATGAAAGTAACAGGAATGCAAAGAGAAGCAGGAGGAGAGGATGAGATGGGGTCAGGGACAGGTAGAATCCACTCCGTTAAGATCTCTCTGAACTTTATTGAAAATTTGGGTCTTTTACAAAAAAAAAAAAAAGCAATGGTAGACAATGAACATACTGAAAGCAGGTATATGGCATTCAAATTTCTGGTCTGGAAAAATCATTACGGCAGCAGTGAGGATGAAGGGGGGGGGCAAAAATAGGTGTGGAGACAAATTGGAAACTATCACAGTTCTCCAGGCAGAAGAGTTCTTAGCACGAATTAAGAGGCTGATGACAGTGAAGGAAAAAAATCTACATGCCAGAAAGATGTGTGATAAGACAGGGTGATGGACTGACTATAGGTAAAGAAAGAGAGGGAAGTGCAAAGATGACTCCCAGGTGGTTAAACTCTAAACAGGAATCAATGGTGGTTCTGTTCACAGAGACAGGGAACCCTGGAAGTTTCTGGAGCAAGAGCATGACTTTGGCTCTAGATATATTGAGTTTGAGGTATCTTAAGATGTACAAAATGGGATATTTTGAGAACTATTTGATGAACTGTTTTGGAATAAAGGAGAGATTGTGTTAGGCTGTCAGCGTGAAATATCTGCATATGTAGAGGATGTGACGCAGCTGCCATCAGTGAACTCACTGACAGAGACGACATAACATAAGAAGATGGTGGAGAAGCCAAGCCTTGAGGAAATTCAGCATTTCCTGGTAGGGTAGTGAAGGCTGAACCTACAGAGGGAACGAAGAGGAGGAGGCAAAATGGTAGGAAGAAAACCCGGAGAAACTAATGTCAAAGAAGCCCATGTGTCTTGGGAGAATATCAAGAAAAAAGCCAGCCCGCTGTGGGTAGAAGAGTGAGTAGGAAGTGCAGCTACGGAGTCAGCAAGGGGCCTCTTCTGGGAGAAGGTTGCCTGCGACGGGAAGGAGGAATATGGAGTTGTGTTTGGGACGTGGATGGAAACTTTTCATTTGTGCTTTAATGAAAGACATTTGAACACCCTTGCCAGCTATGAAAACACAGGTTTAAAAGAAAGTTGAACACACAAGAGAAAGGAGGAGTAATGCTCAGCAGACCTTGCAAAGCTGGGAATACTCTCTGAGAACTCAGGGTGTCCCCGCACTTACCCTTTCTCAGTTCCGACCACACTTGTAAGGACTCCTTTAATATCTGTATTTCCCATTCCCTGCGGATCGGAATGACCTCTTCCTCAGTTACTTCCGTATTCCTGGCGGGGGAGCAAAGTGCTCAGGTAGGAGGCATGAAGAAATGTTATGTTTAAATTTCACACTAAAGTGAATGAAATTGGAGGCACATTTAACAAAAGAAACAATCTGTACACAGCTATCATTTAATTAAAAAAAAGAATCCAGAAATCGGATGATCTTAATGTGTCTATTATATGTGTGAGTGTGTGTACCCCCATCATGGTTATTGATTTCTTAGACTAAAATTAACAATTGGTGTCTTTACTTTAAGCAGAAGCTATTTGGGCACCAAGACAAGAAGGCTTTAGAATGAGAAAAATTGAAAGTCAACCAAGAACTAAGAATTCTCCACAAGTAGATGAGCAAGGCCGTGAGTCATCTTTGTGCAGAGAATTGCATCCTGATAATATCAAGGAAACAAACAGCCAGAGCACAGCCTGTTAGGACAAGTGGGCATATCATTCACCCTGATCCAGGTGAACCCCGAGGAACAGGACTCCGTGTCTGAGATGTTCGTTGACCTACCACACCAAGGAAACCGAAAAGTCCAAACAGTCACAACATCAGCAAAACCCAGGAAACCCTCACTTCTATTTTGGGCACAAAATTCAATGCTTCATTTAGAGGAACAAGTCCATGAACAAAAAGGAAATCAAACGCACCTTTCTTTCTTTCCCAGCTTTGCAAGTTTTTTAAGTAAATTCTTTAGTCTCAGTTTCTTTTTTTGGCAGGGAGTGGGAGGACCATGGTCTCAGCCTTGCTCACAGCCACCTCAAACTCCTGGGTTCGAGGGATCCACCTGCCTCAGCCTCCCTAGTAGCTGGGACTACAGGTGCCTGCCAGAACACCTGGCTAATTTTTCTTTCTTTCTTTTTTGTTGTGTTTTGTTTTATTTGAGACAGAGTCACCTTCAGTAGTAGAGTGCTGTGGCATCACAGCTCACAGCAACCTCAAACTCTTGGGCTTAAGCTATTCTCTTGCCTCAGCCTCCCAAGTACCTGGGACTACAGGTGCCTGACACAACACCTGGTTAATTTTTATATATAT